GAATAAGGATGCGATGTTACCCTAACATGGGTGATGTAGTTTATCATCCAGTTGAAGGATATTACAGAAGATGCTATATGGATTACAAGCTTAAAGTTTTTTTCTTTTAGGATTTTATTTACATAAGGGAATATTTTTCTAGGGGAGTGGGCAGAAGAATAAAGATATTAAGAATAATTATGGTAATTTTGTAGGAAAGTGGGTGGAGATAGGTTAGGTTATGGATTGTTTAGTTTAAAGAAAAGGGATATTATGTTTAGATGTGAATATATGTAATGAAGCGGGGGAAGGAAATGGGTAGTTGAATTGAATAAGTGTTAAATTAGGATTTATTGAGTAGTCTTAGAGTGGAAGTATGTTTTGAAATGTTATAACGTATGGGGGGTAGTAAAAGGGTAGATCACGAGTGGAAATCGTTAAATTGGGAGATATAATAATATTATTATGTTAAATCAGGAGTTATTAGATATTGTTATAATAGAATGTCACTTTGAAATGCATATTATAGCATAGTATAAGGGGGGTATGATAATTTTATTAGAAAGAAAGGGTCAGTATATGGAGATAGACTTCGCCACTCTTATCGCCACTAGGTAGGTCTTAATATAAGATCTCACCTGTGTTCAGTCAGATTCAGATCGGCTTGTCCTCCAATCACTCTCCAGGCGTCTTTTCCGACGCTTCATCTCTCTCAGCTCCTCGGAAAACCAAGGAGCTAGACGAGATCGGCATCGGATCAGAGGCCACAAAGGCACGATGCGGTCCAAGGCCGCAGTAGCTGCCCTGTCCCAGGCGATCACCAGGTCCTCAGTCGAGTCTTGAGCCAGAGACTCAGGAAATGGCCCAAGCTCCATCAGGAACCTTTCGGGGTCCATCAGGTGCCTGGGACGGAACCATTTGGTTGGTTCCATCTCCCTGCGGTGGGTGGAAGTGACTTGAAAGAGAATGATCAGACCATGACAAGGGTTTGATGTCTATATCCCCTATTCTTAGATCATTCAGCCACTGATCAGAGACAAAAATCAAGTCCAGAGTGTGATTCCCCAAGTGGGTGAGGCCTTTAACTACCTGGGTCAGGTCCATAGCCATCATGGAAGCCATGAACTCCCGAGCCGTCTCCGACATCTCACCAGCGGATGGCAGATTAAAATCCCCCGTAACAATACGTCTGGGGGTTTCCACCGCCACCCTGGCTATAATGTCGAGCAGCTCAGGCAGGACCGCTGTTACGTGGCAGGGAGCCAGGTACGCAATCAGTAGGCCCATCTGAATCCCCTGACCCCACTTCACAAGGAGGGACTCACATCTGGCTATCTGAGGAACAGTGGCCTCCCTCGGGCAAAGACTTTCTCTAATGATTGCTGCCACTCCCCCACCCCTTCCCTGAGTCCTTGGCTGATGGAATGCACGGAAACCTGGCGGGCACATTTCCACAAGGGGAACTCCTCCCTCCTGGCCTAACCAGGTCTCCGTAATCCCTGCCAGGTCAGCACCACCCTCTGAAATAAGATAAATAAATATTCATTAATTGTAATTAAAAGCCATTTAAAACCACATTCATTTTGCCTTAGAGTGTAAGCTACAAACCTCATGCTAAATTCTAAAAAAAAAAAAAAAAAGGAAGAGAAAGAGAGAAACCTATTTAATTATTGTGCATCTTACTGAATAATGAATTCAAAACAATGATTTTACGTTTTTATTGCTTTAATACACTTTTTATTTCAGATATATTTGTATATATTTTATAACATAATTCATAATATAGTGGAATATTTTAAAATATCTTTTAAATTGATGATATCTATACTAAATAATGAGGATGGGATAAAAGAGATATTAGAACTTTAATAATTATCCTATATAAGAAAAAACAGCTAATGAGCTGAAAAAATGTTTTCATTAAGGTAAGCACCTTATTCCTTTTTTTAGAAAATCTACAACATTCAATAATTGATCATGGCGACTTCTACTTGGCTCCGCGAGCTTTGAAGACACTCTTTTATGAGCGCCCAATCCCCGGTTCCGTAAAAGCCCCAGAACAGCCGAAAAACAGCTGTCTGGAGGCTTGGAACCCTCTCCCCGGGCAAAGGGGAGAGAGAAGAGTCGACAGGCGGAGGTAGAGCACCCCCAAGTGCCCTAGGAGAAATCCTGGGGCGCGAAGGGTGTGGGTTCCCTATTGAAGCCTGTCAAGCTGCTCCGGACCAGGGACAACTCTGCTAAAACTCCACTAGAAGCCGCGACCAAAATCTGCTGGGAAAAAAAAAATGAGGGGACTTTTAACATCTTTACCTTGATTGCAGACAGAGCAAACCAGGAGAAAAAAGAAAAAAAAATTGCAAGTAACACTTTAACTCCGTTTTAAAATGCAGAAAATGGTGCCTGAGGGCAGGAGGAGGAAGCTACAAGGGAAGGTGCTTGTTATGCTTGTTAACATTTGCAACATTGATACAGCTACTGGATTACACTTTAAGAGAAAGTTCTAAAGTGGAAACGCCTAGGAAAAGAATTTGGTACTGAGGAAAAGAATTTGGTATTGACTTTAACTAAAATTTTGCTCTTATACCGTGTGGAAAATAGTTGGAATTGTTGACCTAATAGCTGGATAAATACAAAGTGGCTGAAATATGGCTGACAGCAGGGCTGGTGAATCAGCAAATTCTCAAGATGTAACTGTTAAAGCTTTTCAAGAACTTCTAGAATCCTTTAATTCTGCGCTTTTGGATATAATTGAAAGAGCTTTTTCAAAAAACAGCTTGGAAAATTATAAGGAGTCGTTAGATGGGCAGCAGGAAATTTTTCAGAAGAGCCTGCCCTTGGAAGATCGAGAGGCTGTTAGGACTGAAAGGCAGGTTGGCACAGCTGAAACAAAGAACTGGGTAGATGCTTCCATTCAACTGATAGAAAAGCAACAAATAGACTCTCTATTGCAAGCTGACAAACTTTATGGCAACAAATTTTGGCTATATGAACAAAGGAATGGATTGAAGGACTATACAAGCAAGAAGAGTCAAAATGGAGATCTCAAATTAGAAAAAGTGATTTCAAGAAGAGAGTGAGTATTTCAGAAACATCAACCTCAAATCAACATTTTAAAATTTTCAAAAATAAAATTGGGGGGAATGTTGAAAGAATTAATAAAAAAAAGGACTGGAAAAAATATAGAAAGAAGAGAAGAATAGAAGATTAAGCATTTGCTTTTTTTTTCTCTTTGGGGAAGGAAGATTCTAGTAATAAACTGAGAAGTTTAATTACATTGGTATTAAAGGCTATTTTAGGAACTGAAAATTTGAAAGATATCTTCCTGTAGATTTTGAAATCTGCATTTGGCAAATATGTGTTTCAATGGTATTAAGAGATTTTTAAAATGTTTAACATAAGATTATATTATTTTAAAAGATATATGAGATAAATTGTGTAAGCTTTCAGGATGCCCAACTTTTTGAAGCAAAGAGGATTAATGTTAAATTCAGAATTCTATTACAAAACAATAATTAGTTTTGGATAGTAAAAGGGCTGCTTTCAAAAAAGTCAGAGGTATTAACATTGGTTAATTGAAAACTTGAAAGATATCCTCTGGTAGATTTTGAAATTTATATTTGGTAAATAAGTGTTTTAAAGGTATTAAGAGATTTTTAAAATGTTTAACATAAAATTATATTATTTTAACAGGTATATGAGATAAAATGTGTAAGATCTCAAGATACCCAATTCTTTGAATGAAGAGGATTAATGTTAAATTCAGAATTGTATTAGGGAGTAATGTTCAAAAAGAATGATGTTCGAGGGTATGGAAATGAAATTTACTTATGACTTTTACTGTTTGTAATGTTGCTAAAGTATTTTATTATACATCAAGAAAAAGTTTTTTTTTATAATTAGGATGAATGAATTTAACGTAATTGGTCTTGAGGATTTATAAAAGGGAGGTTGATGAATTGGAGCAAGGGGAATTAAAGAATGTGTGGGAGTTTTGAAATTTATAATTAGTTAGTTTATTTTAGCATATGTTTGTTAGATGCTATACCCTGTTTTTGCTCTGGGAAGTCGGGGGTGGGGTGGGGAGGGTGGGATAAGGGTTGGGATGGGAAAAAAGTGGTGAATAGAGAAATGTTTTAACAGAAGAAAGTATCTACGATTAGAATACAGGAGTTGCTCAGATACTAAAGGAGGAGAATATTTCACAGCAAAGAAGTTAGAAAGGAGAGAGGAGGAGTGGGTAGGAAGAGGAGAGGGAGGGAGAGGAATGGAAGAAGGAGAGGAGGAAGGGAAGGGGACAGGAGTAGGAGTGAAGGCGAGAAGGGGAAAAGAAGAGAGAAGTGGGGGAAAGGAAAAGGAAGTAGGATGAGGTAGGAGAGGAGGAAGGAGAAAGTAGGAGAGAAGAGGAGGGAGGGAAGGGAAAGAAAGGAGGTGGAGAAGAAGGTTTGTTGTGGAATGAGGGAAGAAAGAGAAGAAGAGCAACTCCGAATGCAATTAAAATGTCCTACTTTAATGCTTTCTTTAAGGGAAACATGCATTTATTATGTATAAGAAAATGTACACTTTCTATTATGTGGGGAGGGGGAAGGGTGGGGGGAGAAAATTGTTTGTATTTCTTATAAAACTTTTCAATAAAAAAAAATTATCATGGCACTAATTTTTAATGGGACTTTAAGTATTAAATATACATTTTGGAAGAGAAGAACAAATACTGATAGAACTGTAATGTGCAAAATTAGGAATCATAAGCTGTAACTCAAATACTCAGATAACAATGACAAGTCTTTGAAATAATTTAGTAAATAATACATTGATTAAAATATATCTGAAAGAAGAAACTTTTTTTCAAGACTAATCTTATGGAAATATATGGTAGCAAAACAACAACAACAAAACAACTAACAAATACCATATCCAGTTCTCTTAAATCTTTCATCATTATTTGATAAATTTTCTTGAATTTTTGAGTAAAAACAGGATTTTCATTCTATTTTATAAATATGATAATAAACATCATGTCCTACCTATTATTAATGGTGGCCCATGCATCATTAATATTATTGGTCATTATTTGTACTTTTCTGGTATCATCAGTTGAGTAATCCCGAAGAAGTTTAAGGGCCAAATCATTTGCTACATCCAGATTTATATGCCACTGACGTAGTTCTTTTGAAAATTGCTGGAAAGAGAGAAAAATATGAGCACTATTTCAGAAAGGCCTCAGCAAGTTACACAATCTGAAGATATACACAAAGCAATTTAAATACTCATAATAGAAACATATACAGGTAGATCTTGATTTATAACCATAATTAGGACCAATATTTCTATTGCTAAGCCAGGTAGTTCTTAACTGAATCATCTTCAATTTTACAGCCTTTTTGAGCAGTTGTTCAGTGAATCTCTATGATCCATAAACAAATCACATGGTCATTAAGCTAATCTAGCTTCCCCCATTCACTGTGCTTGTTGGAAGCTGACTGGGAAGGTCACAAATAGTGATTATGTGAGTTGGGAAAACTGCAGCCTTTATAAATACATGCCGATTCTAAGCACCCAAATTTTCATCACATGTCTGCAGGGATGCTACAATTTTCATAAGTGTGAGGATCTGTTGTAAGTCACTTTTATCAGGCTGTTGCTACTTGGAAAAGTCACTAAAGTTGAGGACTATCTGTAATCTTTTTCAGATATAAACACTTCAGCTTCTTAGTTTAGTGCTTAATATGCTATGAAAATTTCTTCAGTAAGTCACCTTTCTCATTCAGTTAAAAGTTCTAAAGTTTGGGTTATTGTTACAAATTGGTAGATATAGTGAATTATTAAATGGAAAGGGTGAAGTTAAATCTATGCAAGAATTAGAAGAACAAGGTATATAGACGAATTGGTTTTCCTATTTGCAAATACATTCTAGATACGATAAAGATTTTAAGACATAAGGTTTTTATGATAATTTAACTAATTTAGATAAAATTTTAACAGGTACTGATGAAAACGTAATTTAAAAACTATATGGATATTTATTGGAGGTTAAATTGGAAGAAGAACAAGTTAAAGAAACAATGATTGCGTGGGGGGAAAATTTTGGACACGGGATTGACTTAGAGAAATGGCAAAAATTGTGGTCTCAAAATTATAAAATGACAATGTCAACTGCATATAAAGAAAATTTGTATAAGATGTTTTACAGGTGGCATTTACCCCCGACGAGAATAGCCAGAATGTTCAAGAATAAATCTGAAAAATGTTGGACATGTCATCAAATACTGGGTTCATGTTACCATATGTGGTGGATGTGTGCAGAAGCCAAAAGATACTGGACTAAAATCCACACATGGTTGGAAAAAATGATAAAAAAGCACATAGATTTTAAACCAGAGATTTTTTATTGGGGATTGTACCTGAAATATATAATAGAGAATTGAGATATCTGATTGTGAATGTATTAACAGTGGCTGGAATTGTGTTTGCTAAAAATTGAAAAAATGAGAAATACCAACGCAAGATGAAGTTATTAAGAAAATAATGGAATGTGCTGAAATGAGTAAATTGAAATTTGAAATTAGAGAACAAGAAGATAAACAATATTATAAGATATGGGATTTATTTTATCAATGATTAGATTAAAAAATATGGAAATGAAATATGATAGAGATTTTTATAATATAAGAATTGTAAAACTATATAAAATATAACATAAAGATGTATTATTATTGGATCGATTTAGGATGATGAAATGAATGTTATAATATAAATCAACTTAAATCTTAGAATATTTTGTACAAAATGAGGGAAGAATAGCTATAGTCAATAAATGATTAATGAGGACAATAATACATAGATATATATTAGATCAATAATATAAGAATTTAGGTAAACTGTAAGCCGTGAATATGGTGAAGACGCACAAAAGACTTGTAACCAACCAACACACTGTGTGTAATTGAAGATGGTTTTATGTTTTTATATGTTTGTTTAAAAATAAAAATAAAATTTTTCAAAAAAAAAAAAAAGGTTTGGTTTATGGGGGGAGGGGATTCTACAAAATAATGACCTCTCAAATAAGGTCAATATGATAGGATTGCACAAGCCCATCTATTTGAGAGTGCCGACTTTCTTTTTTCTGATTCTTCAATGATTTTTCTATAATGTTAAAACTTTTTCTTCTTCTTTAGTGCTACAGGTTTGCAAATGTGTGTAGATTATTTTTCCATAACTCCATCAAACTTCTAGGTTCTGAGATTCACTCACACAAAATTATTCCAGGGTCCTTTTCTTTTTTAAAATTTATGGGTTTTTTTCTTCAACATATATAAGTGTTTAGTGAACAGTATATTGTCTGGGTCAATTTGCTTTATACAGAATTTGCTTTATACAAAATACTAGTAACAATAATAATATTTTTTTTTTATTGCAAAAGTTTTACAATTACATTTTCACCCCTTTTTCCCCCCCACCTCCCCCCAAACTTCCCAACCTCCCTAACCCTCCCTAACCCTCCCCTCCCCCCAGACTTCCCTATAATATACTCATAACTGGTAAAAAAAACCACACACACACACAAAAAAACCCCCTTAGAATGACACTTATGTGTAAACTTGAACCCCTCCCTCCCCTGTATAATTTTTCTTTTTACCTCATTTCATTAAAATATTTCTAATATATTATTTTCAAATAAAAGCTTTTTGATACTTTCTAGTTTGATATTTGTTCTGAACATATTCTATCCACCTTTTCCATTCCCATTCATAAGTCTCTTGTGAGCAATCTTTTAAGTATGCTGAAATCTTCGCCATCTCTGCGAAACTGGCCATCTTCAAAGTCCATTCTTCAATAGTGGGCAAAGCTTCATTTTTCCAATATTTACCTATCAACAATCTTGCTGCTGTTATCATATACAATATCAATTTTGTTTCACCCGATGTAAAACCCTTAACTATACCCAATAAAAACAATTGTGGAGAGAATTGAATTTTTTTCTTCAAAACATTCTGCATGACCCACCAAATTTTTATCCAAAAAGCTTTAACTTTCCTACAGGTCCACCAAACATGATAATACGTAGCATCCAAACATTCGCATCTCCAACATTTTGGCTGAACATTAGGGTACATACATGACAACTTTTTGGGATCTAAATGCCATCTATAAAACATTTTATAGAAATTTTCCCTCAGATTCTGCGACTGTGTAAATTTAACATTCTGAACCCAAATTTTTTCCCATGTTTCCAACATCACTGGTTCTTCAAAATTTTGTGCCCACTTAATCATACAATCTTTAACTAATTCGGTTTCTGAATCCCTTTCTAACAAAACATTATAAAGCCTTTTGATATGCATTGGACCTTTCTCTTTTATATGTCTAACCAATTCTTCTTCGTGCAACATAATACCAGTTTTTTGGTCCTCTTTCCATCTCAATTGTAATTGATTATATTGTAACCACGTTAGATTAATCCCTTCGTCCAACAGTGTCTGCAATGTCTTCAGCTGCCATCTGCCCGCATCTGTAAAAAGAACCTCTTTGTATAAAAAACCCCCGAGTGACATTATATTTGTATTCCACAAAATATGACCAAGATCCAGCCATAGTGGTATTTTATAATCCCATTTGAATCAGTGCTTCTTCCAAACTCTCATCAAAGAGTCTCTAAGTATATGACTTTTAAATACTTTATCAACTTTGTCATCATAAAATAAGTAAGCATGCCATCCAAATTCGAGATCAAAACTCTCTGCATTCAATATTCCAGTCTTTTTCCTTCCAAACCAATCACTTGTTAAAGCTGCTGCATCATAATATAACTGTAGGTTTGGAAGTTTAAGACCTCCTCTTTCTGGAACATCTTGCATAATTTTCAATTTCACTCTCGGCTTTTTGTCGTTCCAGACAAACTTATTCACTCCAGTTTGCCAGACTTTCAATTGTTTATCACTTTTAAGCACCGGAATCATTTGAAGCAAAAAAAGAAATCTTGGCAAAATGTTCATCTTCACTGCTGCTATTCTTCCAAGTAGAGACAGCTGCAGTTTTTTCCAAGTCTCCATATCTTTCTGCACCTCTCGCCACAACACCTCATAATTATTTTGAAACAATTTCATGTTTGATTCTGCAACCTGGACTCCTAGATATTTTACCTTAGGTACAGTCTCAAAACCTGCCCTCCTTTCTAGCTCATGTTTACGATCTTGTGTCATGTTTTTAGCTATCATTTTAGTCTTTTTTGGATTCAGTCTAAAACCTGAAACTTTACCATAGTCTTGAATAATGTCCTTCATCAAGATTATTGATTCCATTGGTTGTGATAGGGTAACAACCAGATCATCTGCAAATGCCTTTATTCTATAATCCTCTTGCCTAATCATTATGCCTTTCAAGATATTAGAGTCCCGTATTGTATTTAACAAGACTTCTAATGTTAGAATAAATAAAAGTGGGGACAATGGACATCCCTGTCTTGTTCCTTTTTCAATTTTAAACTCTGTTGTCAAACTTCCATTAATAATGATCTGTGCCTTTTGCTCTTGGTAAATTGCTGAAATCGCCTGTATAAATTGATCCCCAAAATCCATCTTTTTAAAAGTCTTTAGTAGAAAATTCCAATCCACTCTATCAAAGGCCTTCTCTGCATCCAAAAAGACCAGCACTGCAGGAATCTGTTTATTCTTCTCAAGATATTCCAATAAATCTATTACTTGCCTTACATTATCCTTCATGTGTCTGCCCTCGATAAATCCCGCTTGATCATCATGAATCACCTTTTGGATTACTGGCATCAACCTGTTGGCTAATACTTTCGCATAGATTTTATAATCTGTATTCAAAAGAGATATTGGTCTATAGTTCTCTGGTTTTTTAGGACCGACTTGTTCTTTTGGTATCAAAGATATATAAGCAGTTGTCCATGATGGGGGTATTTTACCCCCTTGTTGAATATTGCAAAATAGATCTCTGAGTTGTCCCACCATTTCAGCTTGCAAAGTTTTGTAATACACTGCGGTCAAACCATCCGTGCCAGGAGCTTTGACTGTTTTTAACTGTTTAATTGCTACTATTATCTCCTCCTCTGTTATAGGATAATTCATTCTTTCCTTTTGTTGATCAGTAATTTTTGTAACTCTTTTGTCGTTTAAATATTTTTCTATAAGTCCATTCTGCACCTCCTCTTTGGCATAT